CAGAATGAATTCCTAAGTTACACTGACCACACACCACAAAAAGGAATGAGACTGATTTGTTTAGGGAGAGGATGGCTTCCAAGAGTGGGTGTGAGGGAATGATAGCATGGGTATTGGTATAGAAAACTTGCCAAACAATAATACTGCATTCATCTCATTTTTAATGAAAATGCCATGGGAATAAAGACTACCAGGTTTTGCCAATTCGTGCATGACTAGGTTGAATATGACCGACCCTACAGGATGTGGCATGCTGTAATCATGGTGAACAGAGCCCTAGAGGTTAAGTATCAGACTTAGTATATGACACTACATATATTATTCAAGCAATAAAGCCTCAAAAAGACAGTCTGGCAAGTTTTGACAGCTGGTGCAAGATGACCCCAAAGTAGTGGCATATAGGCCCTTAGAGATTAAAGATCCCAAGATATTTTTACAATTACTGGGGCATAATGTCACCTAAAAGGTGTTATTTTAATGACTAGATTCTAAAGTCTACCTTTCTAGGGGTACCAATTCTTTTTGGTCTCATTTTCAGTATCTTTTCTTGGTTTACATGCAAATTGAATGCTTGTTCCCTTTTATGAGAGTAGAATGGTCATGTTAAAAATTGTGAGGGAAAAAATGGGCCCATGATTAAAGGGAAACATAATTATGCCAAAAATGGACCTGGGAAGAGGTTGGCCGAATTGGACGGACGGGAAAACCAACTTTGAGCGAGGGCTCAGTTGCCTTGATTTAGCCCACTGACTGAAGGCCTCTTCCTCATCCCCTCTTGGCAGTCCAAGGAGAAGATGGTGCGAGGAGCGCGCAGAGGCTGTGTGCGTCTCAAGGGAGCGGTGGTTGGGATTGATGACGACGACGATTCCACATTCACCATCACTGTGGATGCCAAGACCTTCCACTTCCAGGTGAGTCAGCTGGGGATTGAATAATAACCATTTGCTTCTGTTATTTTCATTATTGCTATTGTTGTTATTATTATTATTATTATTATTATTATTATTATTATTATTTTCGTTATTGTTATTATTACTTTTATCATTATCATCATCTTTATGGTAGAAATGCACAATGCACAAAATAGATTTATTGAAAATGACACAGCAGTTTCAAAATCCTTCCAGATTTCATGTTATTATTATTATTTTATTATTATTATTATTATTATTGTTATTATTATTATTATTATTATTATTATTATTATTATTATTGTTATTGTTATTATTATTATTATTGTTATTATTATTATTATTAACATTTTACTATTATTATTTATATTATCATTATTATTATTATTATTATTATTATTATTATTATTATTGATCTCTATATTTGCATAAGTGTTTTTTTTCCCATTTTGCTAATTCTCAAGGTCTCTGTATTTGTCATTTTATATGCTATATCAAGCATATCATCTTTCTAGGTAGTTTTCAACTTTGTCCAATAACAATAAGAAACATTTTGCCATTTTCTTAATTTTTCACTATATTTATATTATTCAGTTTTCTGTAACACTTTCTGTGCTTAATATTATTCTGTAGTCATTACTGATTCATTATTAGTATGATTATTTTATTTTTATTATTATGATCACTATTATTAGTAGTATTACTATTAGTATTAGTATTATATGATGATGAATACAAATATGACTACTTTTTTGTTATAACAATGTTATTAGCAATAATAGTAGTAGTAAAAAGTAAAGTGTTTTATCAGACTCTTTGGTGACTAAGCACTTCTGGGCCCATTGGTGTGTAAACCAAATCAATAAAATAAAGCCACAGAACCATAATAGACAATGCTGCATAAATACTCTCCCTGCATCAAGGGTTTTAATGATTCCCTCTCATATGATACAGGATTAACGCAGCAGTGATCTATTAACAGGCACACGATCCAGACGAGCGGGAGAAGTGGATCCGTGGACTGGAAGACACCATTGTCAGACACACACCGTCCATTAGGGTAAGTTTCAGTCGCTTTGGATTCTTCAAATTTGTTTTATATGTTAAGTCTTTTTAAATATAATTATCCAATTAGTGAGACTCCACTACAGTTAAGATTTTTTATTATGACAACTGTGTGAGAGAATAGTCTTAGTTTTTTTTTTTTTATGATTTTATATGGAGAGAAAATCTTAGCTTGCAAGGGTGGCTTGAATTGTTGAAATGGTTCAAGCTGTACAGGAAAAGCTAGATAGGATTATGAAGTCATGGAGATGAAAAACTTCCTTTTGAAGGAAATTTGATTTGTGCTTGAACGTCAAAGGGAAGCCAAGGTAACATTGTGTCCAGTATCTATCATCTATTTGACATGTATTTACAGCTATCAAATTAGTAAGGTCACCTTCATCACTTATGATTACCTTGAGAAATTAATGATTCCTTTCTTATATCTGCCTTCAACAGAGGTGGGATCCCTCTAAACCAGCTCCCACCATGGCAGACTTCGACAAGAAGCTAACGGAGAGTGATGCATACCTGCAGCTGCTGATTGACCAAACAACCGTCCTGGAGAAGCACATGCTTACGACAGAGGATGAGGCTGACAGACAGCGCTGCCAGGCAGTTATCGGAAACATTAACAATGTGTTGGAGTCTATTAAGCATTCCATTGTCCTGCTGCAGGTGAGTGTTTGGCTTTGTCAGTTCACCGGATATTATTTGTGAATATCCTTGGCCGTATGTCAAGTTTAATTTAGGCTGAGGTTCGTGTTTTCTTGCATATATTTCATATTTAATTCATGTGGACATGAATTTCATTGTTAGATTTTGCAATTTTTGTGAAATCTTATAGGATTGGGTTGCTTTTTTTAGGATTAAGATCAAGGAAGTCTATGAATATATTTTTAAAAAGATTAGTTTTATTTGTTGAAATTAACCTTTTACTGATTCATGTTTCATAGCATAGTAAGCCTGATGAAATGAGCACCTTCGGCCTTGACAAGTAACCCTCAGCCAACTGATGTGTGGTCCTCTTTCCAGATCGCCAAAAACACTGCTTTTCCAGTCAACGGCGTTTACCATCCCTGCAATGCCATCCCTGAGGGAACATCTCCGTCTGCATCATCTTTAGGAGGAGCGAGCATTGGAGGTGGGGAGGGGGGGTCTGATGGAGGAGGAGGAGGATTGAGAGGAGGAGTGTTAGTATCCTCAACTGGAGAGCCTGGAGTGCCACTCACTGTTTCCCCAACAGTGCAAACGGGGATCGAAGTGGGGCGGGAGTGTGCCGAGGCAGCCAACGCACTTGCAGGGATGCGCCAGAGAAGCCCAGGTAAACCTTAAGAGAAGCTCTCTCTCTCTCTCTCTCTCTCTCTCTCTCTCTCTCTCTCTCTCTCTCTCTCTCTCTCTCTCTCTCTCTCTCTCTCTCTCTCTCTCTCTCTCTCACTCTCTCTCTCTCTCTCTCTCTCTCTCTCCTCTTTCAGGAGGGTGGAAGAAGTCCTTGAGATGCTAACCATAAAAATAATGATTGCCTTGAAATTCATTGTCATACAAACCAGCATGCTGTTGATGGAAGTTTTTTTTTTTTTTTTTTTACAATTAAAGGAGGAGAAAATTGTAGTGTAATATTTGCCAGTAATCTTGTTGTCATTTGACATAGAGATAAATTATTTAGTTTAACCCAATGGCGCCGGGTGTACAAAAGAAAAAAAAACTCTACGCTTAAACAAACAAAGGCGGCGACTTTGAGCGCGTGAGTAGGGGACATCAGCCCGAATCACTGGCTCGCCGCGCTTTGGCGCGCCACTGGCTCGTTTGGCTGCACGCCAGCTTTCGAGCTCTTTGTTTACACGCCGATCGGCGTCACCCGGCACCAAGGGGTTAAGAAATGAAAGGTCATAGATATAGAAAGAGTTTAAACATATACAAGAAACTGTTTGTTGCCAAATAAACTTGCAATATCTGTCCAAGCTTGGGTTTAGTAAAAGCAGTGCCATTCAAAGTGTTATATTAATTCATCATCTATATTTTGTTAATTCTGGAACAAGCTCTGATGCTGTGGAATGATGATTGTTACTCTGTGTAAATCATTGTGCTCTGTAGAAAAGAAAGACAATCAGATATGAAAAGTGCTAGAGAGGAAAAGAAAAGAAGAGAGATAGAGAGAGAGTAAATGTTTATATAGCATATCATTCACAAATATTGCAGAATTTTTGAAGAGTAATGTCATTGGGTTCACTGACAAACAGTAACTCATAACGTTCAAGCATGGTATTAGATGTATCAACCTTTCTAAGATTTCAGTCTTCAGATTCGTAATTACCACTGACCAGTTTTCATAAGTTGCTAAATCTTCTTGACTGGATTACAGACTTTCTACTGTAGTTTTACATGACTTCTTATTTATTTCACACCTGGCCTTTTCCCATGGTCTCAGTTTCGTAACCCTAGAAGTGCAACAAGCTTCAGGATCCATTCAGTGGCCTGTGGCATATATCTCAAGAACTGATTACTTGTCTGAACATAGCACATATAAGGAATATTTTGCTACTGGGGTTCTTCTTTGAGGTTATTCATCCTCCTTTCCCCATCCCCTAGGCATTTTCCTGGCTTAGTGATAGCCAGTGTAGTATATACTGCAGAAACACTCCTTTTCTGTGGATTTGTCAACACTAATGTCACTTTGAAAAGTTATTTCCTATTTACCTTTCTTCTTAAAGTTGCTTTGATCGGATATTTGTCTTATCCTTTAAAGGTGATTCAACAGGATAGCTCATCTTTTCAAAGTTATTATCAGAATGTAGTAGCACAAACACTTCCTTTTGTTTCTTCTTCTTTCCATTTTTTTCCTTCCTCCTTTCCATTCCTTCCTGCATGCACTAGCCTCTTAATTTCAACAATTAAGGCAAATTTTCTTGATCCAACCCCCACAGTTCCCAGCGCCCTAGTCCCCCCAGACAGCGTCGTACCCGAAACATCTTATTCCAGCTCCGAAGACGAGGATTTCTTTGATGCTGATGAGTTTGCCAATGCAACGCCCACTCAGAGCCCAAGGTGAGTACAAGCCTTTTATGCAGAGACTAATCGTCTTGCAGTTTTATTTACATTTTTGTTATTGTTATTTTTGTTAGGGATTTTTCTTTCTTTATGTATTTTCCTGTATTTTTACTCTCATTTTGTTCCTTTATTATTGTTACAGATTACCATGTATGTTCTACAATTGTCATTATCATTAATACTATAGTCATTGTTGTTGCTGTTGTTGTTATTATTATTATTATTATTATTATTATTATTATTATTGTTATTATTGTTAGCATTATTGTTACTACTACTTTGTTATTGTTGTTGTTATTATTATTATCATTATTATTATTATTTATAATATTATTAATATTATTACTTTTGTTATTATTGATAATATGATAAAAAAAAATTATTAGTATAGTTTGATGATAATACATTTTATTAACATTATTTTTGGGTTTAGTATTGTTTCCATTCTTTAGTCCTTATGTTATGAATGTGGTCATTTCTGTTCTTATGGTTTTTTATCATTACCCTAATTGTAACTGTTTGATTTTAATCATTTACTCCTTATCTCTTTGATTACTCAAATATTTGTATATTCTGGATTCATATATTTTTTTATTCTATTTTCCTTTTTTTTTTTTTTTTTTTTTTTTTTGTTTTGTTTTGTTTTTGTTTTTTGTTTTGTTTTGTTTTGTTTCCTCTTTTTTGCTAGTTCCAGGAGAGGACACACAGAGCGGAGGTGAAGGGTAGAAAGATGGTCTCTTCTGTATTGTCTAGAGATTTATTTCTACTTTTTTTATCTGTTGCTTGTTTTTTTCTCTTTTTCTTTGCAAGAATTTGCAACAATGAAAAGATGAATGATGCAGTCATAGCTGGAAGTGAAAGAAACAAGTAAAGGAAGCTGATTCTGGTGTGAAGTTCTTTTGAAATGTGTATGAATAGATAGATGTGTGTGTGTATGTGTGTGTGTGTGTGCGCACTCGTGCGTGTGTGCACGTATCTGTCTATTTGTCTGAGTTTGTGCTTGTCTGTATTTTTTTTTTCTTTTTTTTTTCTTTTTTTTGTTTTGTTTTGTTTTTGTTTTTTGCATTTACTACAAAATTAGTATGATATTGAAGCCTGACTTCATATTTCCAATATTGCTTATTACAAAAGCTTAGCCTAGCTAGTCATAGTCTTGTCAACACACTGAGGAACTTTCATAGTATTTACCTGTTTGAGACATAGAGAAAAAATTAGATTTCAATTGAGAACAGTAATTCCTCTGACATACAAGACCTAGGCCCTTATGGCTCACAAAGAAGAGGAAAGCAGCTGCAGATAGAGAGAGACCCCCCCCCCACTCCTCCCACTCCCAGCATCTCCCTCGACCTCTACCACCTCAAGCCCCTCCCCAGGACCTCCTCCATCCCCTACCCCTCATGGTATCCTCCACCACCCACCCCCCATGGCTCCCTCAGCCCCTCCCTCTAACCTCATGGCATCCTCCACCCCTCCCTCTACCCCCATGGCACCCACCAGCCCATCCTGCCCCACTGAACGAGAGGGCCACAGCTGCCCAGTGCCCCACCTGTGCAAGAATGTTTAAAAAGTCGTATCTATTTATAGGGTGATCTCGTGCCTCACAGCGCTGCCCAATAGCTGAGTGATTAACTAGTGAAACGGAGGATAGTTGTGGTGCAAGGTGCCGTTCCTGCCCTGGGGTGGAGAGGGCTGGCAAGCCACGTGTGGGAGTGGGGGATTGGCCCCCCTTGAAGGAGCAAGACCTGTGCTCGAAACTGTTCCCATCTCTCTCTCTCTCTGTCTCTCTCTCTCTTTTACTGTCTCTTAATCTGTCTCTCTTCTCTCTCTGATTCTGTGCTTACTCTTCCTTATTCTGTCTCTTTTCTCTCCTCTCCTCTCCTCTCCTCTCCTCTCCTCTCCTCACTTCCCTTTTATTACTTGCAGAATCTTGTTCATAAGTTCTTGTGTTACTGAAGACCTCCCCTCAAGATTATTATAATTTTTTTTGTCTCTTTCATTTTGCAACTAAATGGCAGACTGTGATGCATTGTACCATGTAGAACACATGAATAAATGATAAGAAATTGATACCAGGTCTCTCATTCTCTGCTTACACACTACAGACTGTGAATATTAGAATGTGGAGTATGCATATAAGAGGTGTATATGAAAGGGATTCTAGACTTGGGGTATTGGATGGGTGCTTACTTGAATTCTTAGCCAGGTTGTGTATGGTCTCCTCCTCCTCCTCCTCCTCCTCCTCCTCCTCCTCCTCTTCCTCTTCCTCCTCTTCCGTCTCCCCTTCCTTTTTCTCCCCCTCCTCCTTTTCCTCCCCCTCCTCCTTATCCTCCTCCTCCTCCTCCTCCTCCTCCTCCTCCTCCTCCTCTTCCTCCTCCTTCTCCTCCTCCTCTTCCTTCTTCTCCTCCTCCTCCTCCTCCTCCTCCTCCTCCTCTTCCTCTTCATCCTCCTCCTCTTCCTTCTTCTCATCCTCTTCCTCCTCCTCCTCCTCCTCCTCCTCCTCCTCCTCTTCCTCCTCTTCCGTCTCCTCTTCCTTTTTCTCCCCCTCCTCCTTTTCCTCCCCCTCCTCCTTTTCCTCCTCCTTCTCCTCCTCCTCCTTCTCCTCCTCCTCCTCCTCCTCCTCCTCCTCCTCCTCCTCCTCCTCCTTCTTCTCCTCCTCTTCCTCCTCCTTCTCCTCCTCTTCCTTCATCTCCTCCTCCTCCTCTTCCTTCTTCTCCTCCTCCTCCTCCTCCTCCTCCTCCTCCTCCTCCTCCTCCTCCTCCTCTTCATCCTCCTTCTCCTTCTCCTCTTCCTTCTTCTCCTCCTCCTCTTCCTTCTCCTTCTCATCCTCTTCCTTCTTCTTCTCATCCTCTTCCTTCTCCTCCTCCTCCTCCTCCTTCTCCTCCTCCTCCTCCTCCTCCTCCTCCTCCTCTTCCTCCTCTTCCTCCTCTTCCTCCTCCTCTTCCCCCCCCCCCCCCCATGTTCACCACTTTACATTTCCTGTATGTGAATCAACTGTTCTGGTAGTGTACCCTAAATACATGCAGGTGCAAGTAGAGAGTTGGCAATATTAAGTAGTGAATTTGGGAAAGGAGGAGTACATAGATCTAGACTGACTGTAGATGGAATGAGATGTCATAGTAAACAATTATGAATAATAAACCAGGATTAATTGAAGACACTGACAGTGTTAGTTTGTGCTGAAAAGTTTACATAGTTCAGTTGAATTTCTTAGATATTGCAAATGGATGTTGAGATAGATTCAAGAGGGAGATGGGAAGATAATTTACTCAGTATTTTTGTGAGGTGTCTTGCTACTTATGTACCTATCATCTTTGGCAAATTAAAGGAAGATAAGTAAAGGAAACAGTAGAATCTTAGTGTGGAGTGATGTGAAAAGGGGGGAAAGGGAGAGATGTACACTTGTGCTTTGGGTGATAATCTTTCCACATTTAATGTTAAATACTTAAGAAAGGAATTTTTTTCCATAGTGTTATATATGTCTTTCTGTCTTGTGTGAATACCTTTTTGCAGCTGTTATGTCATATTGTTTATGTTTTATAGGTTATATTTAAAGTGTAGCATTTAGAAGCCAGTAAGGCATTTACACTATAAGCAAAATCCAACTTCACATGTAGTTCACCATTACACCATGTGTGTGTTACTGAACATTGCTGCAAAATCTCTGATACATTTCCCCTCCCCCCCCCTGGTTATCGTGCTCCTCTCACACTCGTGGCTCAGTCTTCTCTTGGCGCTTAATCCTCAGCTGACAAGTCACTGTATGTGTATACAAGATGACTTGCAGAAGTGCTGAGTTCCGTAAAGTCCAAAGCAGCAAGCCTCATCATGCAGGCTCATGCGCTAGGCGTCGGTTAGCCTTCCTGCTACCCCAGAGTTAATTCAGTGTGACATTCCCTGTGCTTCTGTCAGTGTGTGTTTGCATGCCTGCTATTGTGCAGGTCAAACTGTAAAGAGTTGTGCCTCCTCCTCAGATAGTGAAAGTGATTGTAGTGTATGTATGTAAGTGTGTTTGTAGAGTCTTTACACTGAACTCTGAGACGATCTGGGAGGAAGTCACTTAGAGTGACGACTGTCAGCTTTATGGCAGCCTTGGGGAGAGTCATGATGAGTAAGGGCTTTTGCAGATCACTTGAGACATGTGTAGAGGTGTCATAGAAGGTGGTGGCACTGGGTAGCTGGAGTAGAAGGTAGCTGTGGGGTCTCATGGCCAACTAGGAGAGTGTTAGTGACCCTATGACTGTGTGGGATACAAGAGATAGATTTGAATGAGGGATTCTACTTGACTCTGTGACTGTGAAATGAGGAAGGGATTCACATGAGTGATTTGCAAGTGGGATATGATTGAGAACTTCTATTGTGACTATGGGATTTGAGTGAGAAACTTGAGTGAGGGAATTTTCTATAACTGAAATAACAGGGATTCATTTGAGCTGTTTGACTGGGACAAGAGTGGAAGGCTTGAGTGAGCAAATCGAATCACATATCTGGGAGAGGGACTTGAGTGTGAGAGGTGCAAGTGTAGGATTCAAGTGAGTGATCCTGGTCAGGGATTAGATGGAAAGGGTACTTGTGATGGTGTGCACCGATAGTGGGGTCTGAATGGTACATGCTGTGGTTTCTGCCACCGTTACATATCTCTGTAGCGGGGTTTGAAGAAAGAGCTTGTTGAAGATGTCGACATGGGAGCCACTCAGATTCACAGAGGACTTTGGAACATTAAGGTACCGTATGAAATATTATATACAGTATGATACCTAGTATATCCTTTTTAACCCTTTTTTTCTCACGAATGTCCCATCCCCCCTGTACAAAGCAAGAAACATTGATGTGCCTTCCCTAGAGTCCAATGTACACAAGAGTGAATTTTGCTTACATCATAATTAATGCCTGGTGTGCCCCCATCAACACCATGTGTTTGAGCATTAATTTTGGGGAGCATGCCATTGGCCAGAACCTGAATTGTGTTGCATGTTGAGCCCACTCCCCAAACCGGCCTT